TAGATCCATGCCACCCTTGCCCTTCATAATTGAATTAAATTTCAACACAAGGTATGATGGGGTTGTGCTTAAACTTTCAGGAGATTTGGTAAGAAAGAGGATAAAATGCATTTGGGTGACAATAAGATTTCCTCCTAATCCTAAAAGAAAAAGATATGAAGAAACGAGGAAACTAAAGTTCTCAATAATACAACAAAGCTGTCCAATTTCTTTAACATTAGCCACAGAAATCCTCTTGAGATACTCATGAGTAGAGCACCAAATAGAAGTCAGAACGACCAGACTCAATGCATTTGCTTTCTCTATGTCTTCCACCCTCTTTCATTCTCTCTCTTTTCCTTCTTAAGTGTTATCATTTATCAGAGCAAAGAAAATTCTGGCACTTCTCCAGAAGCATGCTTATTGTATTAAATTTCAAAAAATATGAAATCAAGTTCAAGCACATATTATAAGGAACTGAATTTTACAATGGTGAATTATAAAAACATAAGATTGTAGCACAAAAGGGACATAGACAATATAGTACCTTATGGTTAAACGAGCTAGCAACATGATCCGCAAACTCCCCATTGCCTGTCAGAAACAACATAAAACAAAACAACCTTATAAGGCTTAAGAAAAATTTAAAACTTAAAATAAATAAAAAAAGTTCCCTCAAGTAAAACAACCTTGCAGAGCAAGTGAGGCACCATTATATTTCTGAAATTTTGCAACTTTTCCATTATAGGAACATTTTTTTTGTTTGAGCAATCTAGGGCAGTCAAAGAAGCAGAAATTGTTTAACAAAAATGTTCCATGGAGTAGATTCAGAAGGTGGCCCATCAATTTCTCAAGATTGAAGCTGTAAGTTGTCAAAACAATCAACCAATGAAAGTTGAATACATAAAGAAGAGAATAATAACAGATACAAAATCATCCACCTATTTAGATAAAGAACTAACATAGACACTCTCAGTCTCTCACATAACAGTTAAAAGGAAAATTAATACAGTAACATTTGTTCAAACACACACAGACTGACAAACATATATATATAGAGAGAGAGAGAGAGAGAGAGAGAGAGAGAGAGAGAAAGAGAGAGAGATATATAGATAGAGAGAGAGACATGTATATATATATATATTAATAGGGGTGTGCATGGAGCGGTTCATAACCGGTTTTGACGAAATCCCAACCGAACTGGTTTTAAATGGTTTGGTTTTCAAACCGAACTGGTTTTTTTTTTAAAACCAGTTTTTGTTTATCCAAACTGGTTTGAAACTGGTTTCAAAACCGGTTTATGGTTCATAACCAGTTTTGATTTAAAATCAATCAAAATTGGTTTTAATTCAAAACCGATTATGAACCATAAACCGGTTATCAAGTTTAAAACCGGTTTTATAATAACTTCAAAACCGGTTTTTGATGAATTGTGCTATTTTTTTTTGAAATAAAATAAAAGATACCTTTATTATTTTTGTTAAAATAAAATAAAATACATTGTGCCATCATCCAATTTAAATTAGATCCAAGATATAGTATATCAAAATCCCCAAAGGAACAGTAATAGTAAGTTTCATATCATATACTAACATTATCTTGCAAGATTTTGTTGCTTCCTTTTTTGGTGCATAGATTTAGGAAATATATAGCAGCAGTACTAGTTTGTTTGAGTAAATTTGTCAAAACAGGGGAAACTTCATTAACAAAAACTAGAGAGGGAAGGGACAGACAGAATTTGCATTGAAAGATTCAAAAGTGTAACCAAACATTACAAGCACATTAAAGAAGCATGAAATAATGAACATTAGATGAAGGCATTTTATGTGGGTCTGTCTGTGTGGGATGAAAGCATCACTAGTTATAAGGTCAGACCCGTAACAGTGATCTTCATCTACTACTCCTAGAAACTAGGCAGAGAAAAGTGCCCATTTCTTCTTGTTCCTTATAAAGATATGCTCAGTGAAAAGAAAAAGAAAATAAAGCTATCCTTTATTTGCTATTGTAAAAACAGCAACTAAACTTTATATCTGATGAAGCTCAAATAGAGACTCAAAAGAATTCAAGAAAATTAAAAGAAAACACCCTTCACACAGACCAAAGACCATAAATGTCAAGGACATACACAAGTCAACAAAATTTCTTTTTATGTTATTGCTTAAACTTTTTTATGCATCGCCCGGATGGACGTGAACATCACTTCCAGAGCAATCAAAACTATCAGAAAAAGCCTTCAACTTTATCAGTGAATGAAATACTTAAGAAGCATTAAATCTCGGAACTGAAACTGGTATATTATGTTTCCGTAAAAAACCAATTCAATGATGATTGTAAGAAAGATTCGATCATGGACCCCTCATCAAACAGTAAAAGGCATGTTTCAGGAAAATTTGCCAGGAATATCAGCAAAATTAATGAGAAAACTAATCAAGCCCCAAGTTATGAACAGAGGATCCAAGACCAACAAAATCACTTAGAGACCCCATAAGATCGTAAATAACATTAGGGAGCAAAGAACATACTAAAACAAAACCAACTGAACATCAGAAAGTTAACAAAGAAAGAAGCAAGCAAGTCATTTAAGCATTCACAGAATTTCTAATCATGTAGAGTGAGAAGAAACAGATAAATTACCCAAGTTTTGAAAGAAACCTGTGATCGGCACCACAGAAATGAGCAATTGTGATACTATAGAGGGAGGAAAAAATCAAACTTCTTTGCAGCAAAACAAATCGATGAATCAAATGAAAAGAAAGAGAAAATACCTACAATAAAGTCACCGAATAAGCAAAGAAGGGTCCTTCAAAGCAAAAACCCCAATTTGGTTGGGATTGGGATGAATTTTCCCTTCAAAATCGAAGAAGAGAACTAGAGAAGAGGGTTGAGCCTATTGCAACCAGAAAAGGGAGAAATTGGAAAATTAAACATAGGGTTCAAAATTATACATGTTCACGACGATGCTCCCTCTCACGTCGTCACTTGGGGGGTGTTTGGTACGACGGTTTTTACAGAATTTTGAAAACTGAATTTTTTTAAATTTTAAATTTTTGAATATTATCTTAAACTGAGTGTAAAAATCATATTTTCGAAAATTAAGATTGCTGGATAAAAAAAAAATTCTCCTCTACCACCCCTTGGAGTAAATAACAACAGTGTAAGACCAAAACAAATGGATATCCATTATTGCAAGTTTTATTTTATCGGTAACCAAACGGATATAAAAAATAAAAAATAAAAAATAGTTTGACATAAAACCGGTTTTTTAAATGGAGGAGAGATATTCTTACCAGTGTTTTAAAACTTGGACCGGTCATCGACTCGGTCGAGGTACTGGGTCACTGGGTTATTGGTTCAACTGAGTTGAACTGGGTTCAACCGGATATACTGTTCACGTATTAAAAAAATATAAATATATTACTAGTTATATATAGATTGAACTGGTGGAGAACAACCACAGAAATGTGACAGAGGAAATGGAACTATCTATGGATTAAGGAAGCAAGAAGTAACTGAAAATATAGATACTACGGTGACGAACTCTATTTTGTGAAGAAAAACCAAAGATAAAAAAATTCATAGAACCTCAGTAACCAATCAAAACCTAAGAGTGTCGTAGATGTGCTGTAGTTGAATTGTTTCATCAAACACATGGCGAGCACTGAGTGTGCTCAACTAAAAAAAAAAAAAACTGATGCTATTAGAACTAAAAAAGAGAGGTAAAGTATAAATTTAACACATAATCTTCAGGAACTGAGCATTTGCATTTAAAAATGACTACCCAAATACCCATAATTCAATGAGATGTGAAGTATACCTGAATAATGCTGGAATGGAAGGACCACTTTCGACGATGTTTCCTACTTTTCCTACGAAATTGAAGGTTGTTTGTTGCACATCAAAGTCTCTGACGAAGGCCACCGGAATCCGAGTTCGTTATTATTCTCTTCTCGCTCATTTTATCTTCAATTTCATCCATTGCGCTTTTGCTTTTGCGTTTTGGTGAATGATTATCGTTTGCTTTTGCGGGTCTCCGGTTTTTAGTCAAACCCGCTGATGCGTAACTCGAACCGCTCACAAGTCCGGTTCACCGGAAATCGGGTTGAACTATTTTTATTCGATTTTAATTGATATATTTATATTTATCCACACAAAATTGTTCTTATAGTTGCATCTATATTACTATATATCTATATTTCTTACAGTTGCCTTTAAAATAGACTCTTTGTGGTGTGTGTATTTGTGACACATATAAGAGATAAAGAGTTTAAAAATATTTGAGTTCGTATGTTTAATATTTTATGAAACACTTTATAGTTGAAGTTGAATCGGGTAATATCGGATACCAAAAAAAAAGAATAGGGTAATATCAAAAGATCATTCGTTAGTTTAGTTATATAATAATAAATATTATGAATAGGCTTAACAAAATATTATTAATAGGCTTAACTATTTTTTATGCAGAAAGTTGTGGTATTATTAATAGGCTTAACAATCACCAATGCAAAAAGTAGTGAGATATTAATATAGTTGTTTGACATCCAATTTTAAACTTTTTTCCCACACATGAAGTTTAAATTTAAAATATTTTTTATCAACTATAAATATATTTTAGAATTTTAAATATATTTTTTGTTTAATCTATAATTTTATATTAAATTCGAATTTATATATATCTTTTTCCTTGTGCATAAATATTAAATGTTGAACTCTTTTCTCACCTATCAAGTACAAAATTTAAATTAAAAAGTTTAAATTTTGAATATTAAATATTTTCTCACATAATAGTAAATATTATTAATAGACATAATAATTTTTTATACAAATAGTAGTGAAAAATATCTGTAGAAGATTGTACACTTTCTCCAAATAATAGCTTTTATTCATTCATTCATGACATAGGAAATAGTGTTATACTCTTTAAAAAAAAATGAAAGTTAAATTTTTTTCTTATATACTAAATTAAAATTTTTATTTTTATAGTGATTAAATTTTTATAATTTGTTTTTTTACAGAATGATAAAGGTCAATTTATTTTTATTTAAATTTAAAATTTAAATTCTTTTGTATTAATTATAAATTTTTTATATAAATTTTTCTCTTTTAATTTATGATTTTTGTACGTTTTTTTAAATTGGTTATACATGTATATTTAAAATGTTCATGTTAAATAATTTTGTTATTTTACAATATTTTTTTAATGTATTTGTTTTTTTTTATGCAGCATTGATAGGGCTAACAATTATTCATGCAAAAAATAGTGGGATATACAACAAAAGAAAAGTAGGTCTTTTTTACTTATAATATACAACAAAAGAAAAGTAGTGGGATATTAAATGAGGTGTCTGCCACCAATTTTTTTTCACAATTGGTAAGTTAAAAATTCAAATTCAAAATTCAAATTTAAACATAAATTCAAAATTTAAAATAGTTGAGTTATTATTAATTTGAAAATTCCAATGTAGAAAGGAGTGTGATTTCAAATCAGTTGTATGCCACCAAAAATTATTCCCATAATTTTCCATTTAATTTATTTTCAGATTTCGAATTTATTTTACAATATAAATAATTTTGTTATTTTACAATGTTTTTTTAATATTTTTTTTATGCAGCATTGATAGGGCTAACAATTATCCATGCAAAAATTAGTGAAATATACAACAAAGGAAAGTAGAGGTCTTTTTTACTCGTAATATACAACAAAAGAAAAGTAGTGGGACATTAAATGAGCTGTCTGCTGTTTACCAAAAAAAAAAAAAAAGCTGTCTGCCACCTAAATTTTTCCAAAAAATTTCCCACCATTACAAAGTTAAAAATTCAAATTCAAAATTTAAAGAGTCGAGTTATTATTAATTTCGAAATTCCAATGTAAAAAGCAGTGGGACATTGAATGAGTTGTCTGCCACCACAAATTGTTCACTTAAATTTCCACTTATTTTATTTCGATTTGTATATTAAATTTTATATTTAAATTTCAACTATTTATATTAAACCTAACCATAATAATATATTTTCCAATAAATTTTGTAAATATACTTAACAATTTTCATGTAGAAAGTAATGGGTTATTAATACAATTGTCTACCACTAAAAAAAGTTGAACTATTTTTCAACGTACATCAATTTAAAATTCGATTTCAAAAAAGTAGGGGGATATAAATAAAAGTATTTGCCACCAATTAATGCTGAACTCTTTTCCCAAATATATCAAGTTTGAATTTTATAATTTAAAAAAATAATGAGGTTTTAAACATAAAAAAATGATATTAATCATAAAAAATGATTAAATATTTTTAAAAATGTTTATGTTAAATATTTTTAAAAAATTACTTGTACCAAATTCTTTTTTTTTTTTGTATTATATTTTTGAATTGTTTTATTTTTAAAAAAAATATTCTGTAATATTCACTTTTTTGTAAGGGATGTTGGTTTCAAGGCTAATTAAGATAAATTTAATTAGAAGATGAAAAGCTTCATATGCATGTATTATATTTTGGAATTGAAGAGCCACAAATTTCTCTTCTGGTCCATATTCTCAATATCAAGACGATCTTCAGCATTGAGGTTTCTAGCCGTAAGAAATCGGGTAATCTCTGGCCACTTAGGATTGCAGGTGATCGTTATAAACAGATGAGGATATACAGCCCAACGGCGAATTGCAAAGGCATCTTTACAATTCTCAACCATATAGCTAGGTCCGCCTCTGAACGAAGAAGGAATACTGATACGCTTTCCAGTTTTTATATGGAATGACAGAATAACAGACCATTACTAATGTTACAAAGCGGTTGTCGATTGCAGCTCAACTCATTTCGTACATCAGAAAGGCTGCAAGTTATAACAGTCAACAATCAAAAACAACAACAAACTGCACTTAAAAGGAGTTGAAATCAACCATTCTAACGTAACAACAAATGAAATTAGAGCCAAATAAAAAATACTTGCTGACTTGGGAGACAGAGAACGAAGATAGATTTTCTACAAAACAACACACAAAAACAAATAATCAAAGTTTGTTGGGTATACTAATTTTCACGTATCACGTAGAATGAAAAAATTCAATAACGTTTGCATACGAAGAATTATATCATTTTTTTTTTCATTTTTATGGTTTAAACTACAACTACTTTTTTACAATTTTTAAAGCAGCTTATGTTCAGAGCAAAAATAAAAAATAAAAACAACAACAAAGAAATGTTTCTAACAGAAGTTAATATATATATATATATATATATATATATATATATATATTATGTACAGTAAGCGTAACATACAATATATTTTTTGCAAAAATATAGAAAAATTTCCCATGAAATAATATATCAGTGAATGTACTGTTACCGTTAGTAATATTGCGGAGCGGTTGTCGGTTGCAGTTCAATTCATTTTGTCCGTTGATCACATCAGAAAAGCTGCATGTTATAACAATCAACAATCAAAAACAACAACAAACCGCCCTAAAAAGGAGTTAAAATCAACCATTATAACTTAACAACAAATGAAATTAGAGCGTTATAAAATATACCTGCTGACTTGGGTGGTAGAGAATGTACATAGATCTTCTACAAAACAACTCACAAAAATAATTAATCAAAGTTTGTTGGGTATACCAACTTTCACGTACCCTGTAGAAGCAAAAAATTCAATAACGTTTGCATATGAAGAATTATATCAGTTGATTTTTATTTTATTTTAAACTACAGCTATTTTTTTACAATTTATAAAGCTGCTTATGTTCATCGTGAAAAAAAAAACAACAACAAAGAAACTTCTGTAACAGAAATTAATGTAGATAACATTAAATACATCTATATGAGCGTAACACAAAAGACATAAACATAGGAATCGTCCACAGATTGAAGGATAGCATTTCGTACGTACCAGTAAACGGAGATAAGACATGACAACTTGAGGTAGAAGAATTACTCAAAATATTTTTAAAACGGTCTGTGCTTCTTCTCTTATTTGGGGGAGTTTCGAAATCTGATGGATGTTTATTCATGACAGTCTTGCACTGAAAAATCCCAATATATTTTTTAAATTCAGAAACAATCGAAAAGAATAAGTTTGACAGCGCCCAACTTGCTTGGAAGAAATGTAATAGTGAGATAAAACATATGCTTTTGGTGATGGTGGACATCAGTCCTCAAGTTGAAGGACAGACGATAATCATGACGGGTCGGCCTAAAATTACCGCTATTGAATCCAAGTCCAACTTTTTTTATAAAATACACCTCTCCGTCTGTGATTTTTTTTTGAACCTGCAGAGATCCTTTGACAGTAGCATGGATCCTTCCACCCTACAAAAAAAGGGAAAGCCAAAATATCAACAACGGAAACGAAAATCATAACAACAGACACATAAATGTAAAATAACAACAGAGACAAAATCACAACAGTGATGAAAACATTAAAAAAATGATCAGCACTACTCGTTCATCCAACAGGACCATCTCAACATTGTCGTCAAAATCTTTACATTGAAAGCATTTCGTTTGGGAAGACGAAAAAGAAGAAAAGAAAGAGGCTATTTTTCTCAAAGAAATATAATTAGCGAGAATTGAATACCGGAGGAAAAAACGAAATAACAATGTACAACGTTCCTTTTTATAGACGCAAGCAACAAAAGAAAAGCATCAAAAAATTTCCAAATTCTTTCCCACCATTACAATTTGAAATTTAAAATTGAAATTCAAAATTTGAAATCAATTCAGAATTCGAATTTTAAAAGAGTGAGCAATTCCAACGTAGAAAGCATTTAAAAGAGTTGAGTAATTCTAATGCACAAATCAGTGGGACATTGAATGAGTTGTCTGCCACCAACCATTTATAACAAATCTTGACCATTGATGTAGATGAAGAAATCTTGTCAATCGATTTAAATTGAAGATTAGTTTTTATTTTATATTTTTTTATTCACTGATTTACCAAAGAAGGAAAGGTTTTTAAAAGTTTGTAGTGTGAACGCAAAGCTGAAAGTG